CGATCTACAGGATAATTAGAGTCTTCTTCACCTATTTCCTTCATTTTATTTACGTGTGTAATTGTAATAATTTAAAAATTTTTTTAAATTTTTTATTTAAAAACTATATTTTTATGACGTAGCAAATTCTATAATATATACTTTACATCACAAATATGTAATGAGATCATACTGATAAGTCAAATAAATTGACTCACTATCGGTAGTCAAAATTTTCAAAATTTGGGGTATTTCATAAATTCGCCACAATGAATAAATATATTGATAAATAATACAAAAATAAAATCTAATTAATGAATTAAAGAGCAACTACTTGAAACAAATCATCTGCTATTTTCTTCTATTTTCTTTTCTTTTTTTTTTGCTTATAGCAGGATTATGCATTCCTTTAGTATTAGCTAACTTTTCAAAAACCTGTTCAAGCTGCTTTTATTATTCAGTGATAAGATATTTAAGTTTAGCTTGTCTTCTAGTAATATGTTTAATTTGAGTGAAGCCTTTTGTCTAACGCTTAAAATCTTTAACAGAGGTCATAAATCAATAGCACTAATAAATAATATATTATTAATCAATATATTAAAAGCTAAATACATATTAATAATATAAACATATTATTCTGAATTTTTATTATGTTAAACAGTGGAAAGTGAAAAGTCAACAATGACTTGGGGCTAAATTATAAAAGAATCATTATACTGTATTTTTAAGTATTTTTTTTAAGAAAAAAAAATAAAAATAAAAATAAAATCAAACTTACAAAACTTATAGATGATTGTTTGCTAAACTTATTGCTAGTACTAGTTGTAGGAAGATCAGAAGTTGCTATATTAGTTTTTCTTTTTTTAGTTAAAGAGATGGACTACAATGAGTTGTTTAAATTTGTTGATTGTGTTGATGTAGTTGATTGCGCTATTTGAGACGATTGTAATAGCATAGTTAAGGTGTTTGAAGTAGATAATTTTGATTGCAATAAAGCTCGAAGAGAATTAGTCAATGGTATAATTAAAGCAGATAATGTTGATTGCAATGAAGTTCAAAGTGAATTTGTGATATTTTTTTATTATTTGTTATATCTTGTCTAGTCAATAATCATTTTGGTCATTGTAAAGAAGAAAAGTTAAAAAATAGACTGATTTTTTTATTTTTTTCTTTGTTTATAGTTTAATAGTAACAATCAACAAGATTGTAAAACAAAAAATTCTTTACTTATAAATTATTCTAAAATTAATTATCATTATTGCTTTATAAGTATGTCAGTTATCTGAGTTAATATATCAATATAATTATGAAAATATTTCTAATAAATAATTATCTTATATCAATATTTCTCAATAACTTTATGCAATTCAATTACATTATTAGAACTTTGAATTCTTGATTCTTTTTTTTTTTTTTTTTTTTTTTGGTGTTAAGGTGGCCTCTTGGCCGGCTCCTTTTATTCGGTTATAGTTAACT